ATAAAGTTTTATATAAAATATGTATGAAATATCTATAATATATGACATTTTAAAAAATAAATATTAGTAAATATTTATCATAAATATTTTATACTGTCTGGGATATAATCTATTTTTTTTTAGCTAAAGTTTCCCAAGCAGCACACAATATTTAAAATAAATTTTTAAAACATTTATTTAATATTTTTACACTAAATAAATATTTTTAAACCTAATTTTAGACATTTTTTTAAATATTGTGTGCTGATTTTGAGTTTTGTACGGTTCATCTTTCTTCTTTTTCTCTCTATGTTGGAAAGAAAAAGGAAAAAGATAAATCGTGCAATAAGTTCTTTGATATAATCTGATTAATTATGACTGATATAATTAATGGATAAAATACATGAGCGTTCTGCATATTTTGTACATAAAATAACAGCTTTCTATTGTATTACAATAATATGATATGTATTAATATTGTATTATATAAGTATTGCATGAATTGTATATGTCAGACTGTTACTAATTGTGGGTATTACATTTATAAGATCGTAATCAAAGTAATTAAGAAATAGCTAAAACCGACTGTAATCTGCAGAATGTGGAAAAAAACAGTATAAAATATCAAATATAAAATATCAAAATAATGTAACATTATGTGTTAATTAAATCCTGAACGATAGAGCACAAGCTCAAACGAAAGAACAAAGGGCAAGAAATTAAATTATTGAATATATGGAAACCGAAATATACTTAACAACATATGGCGGATTTGATTGGACGCAATCGCAGTGCGCACTGATGCACGTCAATTAAAAACGTCGTAAATTGACATAAAGATATGTATTTATTTTAAACATAGAAACCGGTTAAATCGTGGAATACTCAATACTTCATTGTGATTGTTAGATAAAATATGTATTTTCTAATTTAAAAAATGTTTGCTTTTTACTTTTACACTCATTGTTAGATTAAATCGGTACATGTATAACGACTTTTATATGCACCAGTGCGCATAAGTGCTCCCACTCAAATTCGCCAACAATTCTTCTTCATTGTCTTGATATTATCTGCGAACGAGTCCAGCGTTATGTAGCACATTGTAAATCTTTTCCTTTGAGATTTTGTCCGCCTCTCGGTCGATTACCTGTAACATTAAACGGATGTTCTAAAAAAAACTAATTATTCAATTTTAATATATTTCCCAGACAGCACACAATATTTACAAAATATTTACAAAAAATTCAAAATATTTATAAGATTTATTTTAAATATTTTGTAAATATTTTTGTGGTTTTAGATTGCAGATCATAAATATTTATTATAAATATTATGAAATACTTATTAGAATAGTTATAGTAAATGCTATAAAAATACTTAATGAGACATTATAATCCAAATAAAAAATACTTATTAGAAATATTTATTTATATTTATCATAAATATTGCATAAAATATTTAGTCTATATTTTAATAATATTTCGAATAAAGTTTTATATAAAATATGTATAAAATATCTATATAACATTTCAAAAAATAAATATTAATAAATATTTATCATAAATATTCTGTGCTGTCTGGGTTGAATATTTGACGTATAATTGGATTAACGCAAGTGGCCGTAATTATTTCTATAGTATTAAAATATAACGAATTTGTTAATTGTGATGTTAATGTAATCTCATAATTATACTTATAATTCTGAAGAAGTGCATAGTATGCTGTAGCAATAATACAAATAATATATTATAATTTATACAATTTCATAAAGCATAAAAAATCAAATGGTTAGATTAATAATAATAAGTGTTGAAGAACGTTTAATTATTACATTTTATCTGGGTAAATTACAAAAATTATATACCTGCATTTCCTTATCGATAAACCAGGATTCCTTAGCGAGACCAGCAGCAATACTTGGATTTTTATAAAAATTATTTCGTAATTCATAAGGTAAATTATCTTCCATCTCAGAATTAATTATAACAGCTGGATGAGCGAGCATCGTTCCGGGATTTAAAAAAAGAATTGGCGTAGCTGCGCAAGTTGTTACGATGATGAACAAGATAATATTTGTGCAATTAGTTAGCATTTGTGATGCTCTGATACTTCCCTAAAAAATTTTTGGACTGAACTTTCGAAAATAACTCACGCCTAATTGTTATTAATTTTGACAGAAATACTTTAAATGATGTGAAATAAATGTCCTTAAATGAATTTTCACCAAAAAAAGATTTAATACCATTAACAATTTCCAACATGACATCAAAATGATTCCAAAATGTGTAACTAAAGTAACTTAATTATTTTCAATTTATTTAATTATTTACAATACATTTTCATTTTAACGTTATATTGATGTTATCGCGACTTATTGTTCTGCTTGGGATCGCGGTATCATGTTAGTTATGTATGTACTGTTGCAGCGTTTTTATCATGTATAATATTTGCGCAACGGCAACATTATAACAGTACTTACTGTCATTAAGAATCTCGAAGGATATAATATACTGAGAAGAAAATATCCGGTACTTCCTGACACCCTATCTACCCTCATCCTCCCTGATATATCACACGCCGCATATAGTATTACCCAAACAGCATAGAATATTTATGATAAATATTTATTATTATTTATTTTCTGAAATATTATATAAATATTTTATATGTTTTTTTTATAAAGCTTTATTTGCGAAATATTATTAAAAGATAGACTAAATATTTAATGTAATATTTATGATAAATATAAATAAATATTTCTGAGTTTTTTTATTTGAATTATTATGTCTATATTTCCATAGCATTTATTACAAGATATATTTACAATAAATATTTTATAATGTTTATAATCAATATTTATGATTTATGCAATTTAAGATCACAAAAATATTCGCGAAATATTTAAAATAAGCCTTATAGATATTTAGGAATATTTTGTAAATATTTTATAAATATTGTGTGCTGTCTGGGATTTGTATGTAGCACATAATGCCTAAATACATTACTATTCCAAAAATTCGTAGAATGTAGGAACAGAAATTAAATTAAGCTAAACAAATATATAAAAATACAATAAATAAAAAATTTCTTACAAAAGCATAAAGTGTATTTTTATAGCAATTATGTCGCGACATAATTTTGATTTATTAATAAAAATTGTAATCCTTTTTAGACAAATATTTTTTAAAAGTTTTATATTTTGGACAAAATTTCTTTTATACTATTAATAAGTAAAATGATTGCTATAAAAATACAAGTCTTTATGAATACCAACCGTATTATAATTCACTTATAATTCACCTTTCAGATGCTAAAAATTTGCAGTACTTTGCAACGAAGTGACGTTTACCTCTCGCGTGTATTTAACTGAGCACAAGATCGGTGAACAGGACTTATATATGTATATGCGTTGCCTGACCAGTGTTCTTGGTACGAGTTAAAAATCATATTCGACAATTCAACATCCATTGGTCGTTTACTAGCCCATGCAGAGACTTCGTTGATTCCTTTCATGTTTACCTTCAGTTCAAGGTCGCTAATCCTCCGTTAACTGAGTCAAGGGTGATGATCTTTCCAACTCTTACTTTGATCATATAAATATTGTGAGATGCACAATGACGTACATTTTATCAATTTTACGAATGCGATAGCCATATCAGACGTATCGACGTTACATCTTAATTAATTGCCAAAAGTGTCCAGTAAACGTAATGTATACAATTTGAATATTAAATGTCTTGTACTTGAAAAAGAGTTTGATCTCAAGTTGGGAATGAAATCAAATCGAAAGCCTGCTTTATCATTCTCACAATCGAATTCCAGATGCAAATAGCATTTGCAATACTGGGACTGTTCCGGTTTGCGTGTCACATTTCGCTATAATGCAGTCAAAACCGGATTTAGTTCTAGTTAATTCGTGCATTTTCAATCGCGGGCGTTATATTACATCGAGAACGAGTCATTAGCTGTGTTCAACCTTCCTTTCTTTATAAATATTTAAAACATAAATATCTAAAAAAAAGTAAATATAACAATTTTAATGTAATCGATATATTTTAATTTATAGAATTTTTTAAAGATTATACATACGATATTCTTTGTATATATTAGTATTAATATATATATATATGTATCTAATAAGTATTTTATATAGTATTAATTAAGAGATTATATACTAATTTTAATCAATTAATTTAATAAATTTATATTAAACTATCTACCTAATGTACAACAAGTATTTATTACTGTTTGTAATTAATATATTTTAAATATATTTTAAATTATATATTTTAAAATATAGAAAAGTATAAAAATTGTAAAATATATTAAAGTTGACATATTATACAAATATATTTGCACGATGTTACGAGGAAGTAAAAGAACACTTTAAAAATTAATTTTATATGTTGCTGATACAATTTTATACAATCTTGTGTAATTTGTTTTATATCCTTCTTGCATATAGAATTATATTTTGTACCATTTTGATTTAATTATACATATATATTTTTTCTATTCTACAAACAAAATTCTTTCAAATAAATCGGAGTAAATTTCATGATCAAAACTGCAGATGAGGGAATGGAATCATTATCGTATTATTGAGGTCAATGTTACGGTCTTATAAATAACTATAGCAGCATAGTGGTTGTCCTTGCCAAGTAATGCAGGAAGGTTTCAGGAAGTTGCTAATACTATCACGGATCACAATATAATCAGTCTGTAGAGTTTAGAATATAAAATTTTAAGTTGCTTATAAAATCATTGTCTTGGATTTGATACATAGTTGCATTTCTATTACATTACACATGCAACATATAAAGTAAAATGACCGAACAAATCTTGATATTAATAAAAAACTGAAGGAGAAAGACGTAGGAAAAATAATATACATTTTGAAATATATACAAAAAATTACGCAAATTAGAGTATTTATTGTTATTCCTATATACAATTTTTAGTTATTGTAGAAAAAAATATTATCAATTTTTATTTACGCAAGATACTGTTACATATAAAAGAGATACTTTTTTTTTAATAGTATACTTTGTATGCATTGTATTTATGCATTTTGTACAAGATAATAACATAAGTAGCACGAGTCATATAGCTTTCAATTAAATCCTAATAAACATATTCAACATTTAAACACATTTTTTCGTTAAAACCGATTTGATATTTAAGCAGAACCTTGTTTGTCTACAAATCGATTGGCTTCAGCATCGTTTACCTACATCATATTTGCGATTACCTAACACTATTTCGCACAAATATAATATTAAGAGAAAAAGGCATTTTTGCACATACGACACTTATTATATTGCACACAATCTGCATTGCACACATAATATTATCGTCTACAGATCGATTGCATACAAGCACGTTTACGCACCAATAAAAACTTCAGAAACGAAGTCACATTTGTCTACATATATTATTGCAGGCAAATGCGATTTTGTCTTTGATGTTTATTTTTGTGCGCAATAGTGTATGTAGGCAAACGATATTGTAGGCAATTGATTTGTAGGCAAAGGGAACTATCTCGGATATCCAAGTATATTTATTATAAATATTGTAATATATAAAATATTTAACTTGTATTTTAATAATATTTCGAATAAAGCTTATATAAAATATTTATATAATATTTCGAAAAAATAAATAAAGAGAGAAATAAATATTTATGAATACTTATCAATACCTAAATATTCTGTGCTGTCTGAGTCTAGATGTGAAGGTCTGATTGGAGGATCTAGTTCTGTCATTTGTACGTAAGACTTCACCTCATCCTCGCATCATTAAAAGAAATATACGCTCCTGTTCAGTTAGCATTAGTATTTTAAGTAAATATTGTACAATCAAAGATAACTATGTGGGAGGAGGAAAAGAGAAAGAGAAAGGAGGAGATAGAGACACATACAAACACGCGTACGCTCATACACAAGATTTATAAATCCGACCGAGCAATATCCACGCGTACACCTTAGGAAATGTTAATACCAGTGATATTATAACTTTCTAGTCTCATAACTCGAAAAGTATTGATTAAAAAAGGCTTTATTATAGCGTTTTGAAAATCTCTTGACACCAACTATTAGATTCTGAAATAAAAAATAGAGCGTTTCATTAAAAAAAATCGATTTGACTTTGGCTTGATCTTGGTAGCGCCACCCAAGATCAAACTTATAAGATCAGTAAATAGATCATTTTAAACCTTACAACTTTTATATGAAACATTTTTCTCAGAAATGCTTACTTTTCAAGATATTTAAGGAATTCGGGACTTTTTGTACACCTTGCATGTATATAATATCTATGTGACTCTATCGGATAAAAAAATTAATTATTGGAAACACAGTTTTCGTATTTCATAATTATTTAATCGATTGCCCTCATTTATAAAACGTTAATCGAATCGCTATAATGACCATTGCAGTAATAGTATCATTATACATATGTAATAAGGTGAAGGGCATATTATGCGTTTATATTACACGCTTAACACAAACGCACAATCACCTAATCATTTTTATTCTTTTCAGATTATTACTTTCTTCTTTTATTCATGATAATTACTTTTTAAATGATTGTGTTAATATATGACATAACACAATAGAACAAATTTTGATCAACATTTTATTTCTCAACGAGTAATGCGTTTCTTGTGGGATATTTTACTGAAAAAGGATACATTTCTCGACAATTTCCGTTCAGTTTTTAGAAAATTATATAAGAAATTCGTTTTGAATTTCTTATATAATAACGCAAATGTGATGTAATATAAATATAGTATAGAGCTATAAGAAAAATACTTTTTAGAATATACGAAAATAAATGTGATAATATAAAACCTCTTCTGTGTACAATTTTAAATGGTACATTAAATTAAGTAATAAAATTTTTAATACTAAACTTACACTTTATAAGGTTTTTGTTTCTCCACATCTGAATAGTGATTTTTATGTATTTTACTCCGTAAAGCAAAAATATAAGTTTAAATTGTTTAAAGTTATTTTTTTAATAAAATGTTTAATGTCTTAAAATCTAATGGAATTTTTGTAATCTTGTATTCTTTTTTATCAGTGGTTAGGAATAAAAATCACCATTCAGATGTTGAGAAACAGAAACCTTATAACACAGTGTACTTAACGATGAGTATTAATAATGCCTTTAATATTAATACTATTATATTTGTTATGAACTGTTTGCTTTTAATAATATTATTTGCTAGGAAGATGCTATGATAAAATAATTGAAATTGGTTCATACAAAGTTCTTGCATGTTCATTTTTTTGTATTTTCTATTTACATTTCTTATTTATAAATAGGTATATAAAAATATTTATAAATAGATATATAAAAGTATTTCTCGTTTTTGTAATATGTAACATTTTATTTTGTGTTGACAAAAATTTAAAAAGAAAGATGTAGAAATGAATATGAGAGAATAAAGGAAGCATTACCTTCGTACTATAAAGCAAAATTTTAAAATAGTTTACGTGTTTTTAAAATATTTTTATTAATTAAAATTCTATTATTTACAAAAAAGTATAAATTAATAATCATTTGACTCAGCACCGTCGCATTTAATATCTACTAGATAATAGATCGCGCGCAAAGTGGATTTATTGCAATATCCTTTCGATTATAAATAATATTCTGTTTGTTATCATATACATCAAGAAAATATTTCTTTTAAATTATATTCATCTTTTTCATATATGCTCTACAGATTTCCCTAAAGTTTGCTATAGTATATTTGTAACTTTATAAAAGAATTTATTTTACGCTCTCCGTACAAAATTAACGTAGCTATTTTTTACTACGTTTACACGGCACCCTTAATCATATAAGTTTAAAACGAAAAGAGAAAAAAAATTGTATTATTTGATAAAAAAAAAAGGAATTTAGAAAAGAAATAGATTTAGACTAATAGTAACGTTCAGGTTTCTCTAAATGTCATCATTCTTTTACGACAATAACGAAGACGACAACGAAGACCTATCACTCGTTACTTTTAAGTGGCGGTTGTCTGGTGCCAAAACTGGGCTCCAAGGGTACCAAGTAAGTAACTTTCTCGCTAGCATTAGCGTCGTCTTGTTTGAGAATAGGTGTATTCTTTCTGGGTCTTTGCGATCGAATCTCTTCATATGTAACGTATTCAGGCCTGACCGCCGGTCGCTGTTTCTTCAAGTAATATACTGAGGAAGCATTCTCCGGCACGTAACTTTGCTGAGTCGGTTTTGTCGTTTGAGGTATTGGGGTGACGGAGTAACCGGAATTAATTAGAACAGACAACTCTTCTTGCGTCAGAGGCTGCTGATCCTTAGGAGAGGGAACACGTACGACTTGAGGACTGTT